GCGCGTACATTCCACCCCCGAGTGGGGTTCTTCTCTGCTCGCCTTGGGCTCGGCTGCTCTTCCTCTGTTCCCCACGCTGTCATCTGCCCTCGACGGAGTGAGGTTGATCCCGAGTATCCCGCCGCCTTTCACCGTGTTTGCGGTTTGTGCTGTCGCACCGGTGGCCAAGGAGCTTGAGTGGGGTTCTTCTTCGAGCATGGTGGAAATCCCCTGTACACCGTTCTTCTTTTTATGCGACTTGTTAATTTCATTTTGTGAATGCGTGAAAGTTTTGTCATTGCCTCGAGATACTACATGCGGTAGATTAGTCTGTCCTGCGGGTTCTGATGACGCACCACTAATTGAAATTAAGTCCTTAGCCGACGCGCATTTGTCGCTTACGCCGCCGGCTCGTCTTTTACCTCCTCGATTTTCGATGTCGATGCCTCCATTTCCTCATCCTTCAATACTTGCTGATACATTGCCCGGACCTCTGCTCAGGAGAACTTCGGCTGGTGCTTGACGAGCCAAGTGCTTTCGTCCTTGGGGCACTTGTTGTCCTGCTTCCGGTGTCCTTTGTGACCGCAGCGGAAGCAATGGCCTTCCTTTCGCAGACGGTCTATCTCCATCAGCTGTCCCTGACCTCCGTACGTAGTCCCCGTGCCCGTCTTCTTATCTCCCTGGGAATTCCCAGTGTTCCTGGCTTTTCCCTTGTTTTGCTGTCCCTGATTCCCTTGGCTTCGCCCCGCATCTTCCGCTAGTCCGACTCGGTAGTTGTAGTCCATTTGTTCCACTCTGAACTTCCATTCGTCATAGGTGCAGGGCAGTGCGGTGCCGGTTGCATGTATCACCGTTTTCACATTCTTTCGGATTGCCGGTTTGAGGATTTCGATCATGTATTCCTCATTATGGTGTTTGCCGGATTCCTTTGCCAATCGTTCGAAGTCCCGGAAGAATTCCTTGGCCGATTTGTAGGTGTTTTGGCGGAGACGCTTGAACTCCTGTAATTTGAGTTCTACCTCCGCGTCGGTCCGGAATTGGTTTTTGACGATTTGTTTGAATACATGATAGGCTGGATACCTCAGGTGATCGCAGACGGGATCATAATATTCATCCCTGGCATGGTTCCACCAGTGTAGGGCTTTGTCGGTGAATCGGAACATGCAGAATACGACTCTACTTGGGCTTTGTCCACTCATGTTCATTGTGAACAGCTGAGGGAATACCACAAAGTAGTCTTCGCATTGGTTGAAAAACCTGTCCACATCGTTAGAGGCCCCTGCAAACTTCTCCGGGGGTTCGGCTAGTTGTGGCTTTACTAGCACCCAGGGATTGGTGCTCGTGGTTCCAACCAGGAATGGTGGTGGCGTGGTTGGTGGCTGTATGGGGTCAGCGGGTATAGGGATTGCTGTGGGTCATGGAAGCGATCATAATGCTGGATTATGGTGCAGGGATAACGGTCCTGTGGGTGCCATGGGTGCGGGTGCTGCGGGTATTGGAACTGCTGCCGCTCCTTGTGACCCCGGCATTCCTGCGGCCACGAACAACCTGCTGGAGTCCACGTACCTGGTGCATTGTAGTATGGATAGGTGGCTCAGGTCTACCGTGCTTCCATCTGATGTTTCTGATGGTTCTGACACTTCATACCGTTCTCCGGGTTCGGTGTAGTCTTCTGGGTGCACCTGGTTCCACAGGAGACTGGTGTGAAATACCGTCTCTCGATAGATCACCCGGCTCCCGGTCGGGGTGTTTCGGTGTTTGTAGTAGTACCTCCCCTGAGGTGACCCATTCCACGAGATTTCTCGTGGTAGCTTCTTCTCAGTCCACCTGAGCATTTCCAAATAAGTCATATTTAATAGCTCGGCCTCAGTAGGCTCCCGAGCTAGATCCTTCCACGAACTCTGGAATGACGTCCTCGTCTCCGTACTCTCCCGCCCGGTGTAACTGCTCCAGATCAATGGCTGCACGGTTCCAGGGTTCTCGTAGATTTCTCCTTCTTCTAAGTCCGATGGGTCGGACTCGCTCGAAGGGTTCTTCACTTCCTGTGACGATTCGGTTCCAATTTCGAATGATGCGGGCCCACTCATTGACTCTAAGGATGACCTGATCGAAGTCTGGTCTTCGGGGTCTATCCCATACCCAGGGTGCGAGGAATGGGACGGGGGCTGCGAGGGGGTGTTCTGGGGCAATGGGGTATATTGCGAAGGGGACGACGGATGAAGGGGGCTCGATTCCTTCGTACATGAGCCAGGCGTCGGCGTAGTCCTGTACCTGTCTGCATACATCGCAGCTGGCATCGGCGTCGTATGTGGGCTCGCACTGGTCGAGCTCAGTAGTTGCTTCCCCGGCCCTATCGTTGACGATGATTGGGGTGTTTGGTCATGTGATGAGGTTGAGGTACGCTCCTTCGTCATCCGAGGAGTCACTGCGGCTGTAGTAGTAGCCCCATGTTTCTCCTCTGGAGTCAAGCCTGGGAGGGGACCAGTTGTTCCGTGGTCCGGGTAGCTCGCTACCACTGTCCTCCTCTGTATCGCTGCCTTCTTCATCTGAACTGCTTCCAGTCCCATCTTCAGCCATTCCTCCTTCTCCCAGATGATACCTAAGCCCTCGCTGATAGAGGCGCTGTCCGTTGGAATCGTAGCCAGGGTTGGCTGCTGAGTTTTCGGTCAAGGTGGGGGAAGGAGCATTCCAGGGATCACTTCCCTCGCTTTCCCCTTCGCTTTCTTCTTCGGTAATGGGAGAGAGAACACGCTGGTCCACCCCTTGCTCGTAGAGTCCTGGCTCTTCTTCGTCTTCAACGACTGGGCCTCTTTGTGCGGGCCATCCTTCCATTTCGGAATCGGAGTCGGAGTCATCGGAGATGAAGATGAAGTGGATGAAGGTAAGGTCTCCTGCGGGCCTGTTGTCGACGTAGTCAGGAGGGGGTGTGTCCGGTCGTCTAGCCTCCTCGTTGGGGGTTTCGACGGGGACAGTTTCTTCGGAGACTGGCTCCTGGTTTCGTCTGTATTCGTATCCATAGAGGAATGCGAGATAGATCAAGGCGATGACACCTTGTAATCCGATGAAGTCGTTTATGGTTTGTTCAATGGAGGGCATTCGTTACTGTTCGTCAACGTGGTTGTTGATGAAGAGTAAGAAAGTCTCGAACTAATTGTTAGCGACCAATTACACAAACAAGATCAAACAACTAAGCGTGACTCGCACTTCGGTCAGGCGCTTTATGTTGCTCGCAGGTTTGTGTGCAGGGAGCTACCGCTTAGCGAGTCGAGAGTGAGTTCAGACTAAGTTATCGGGTGAATAAACTTTAGTTCGAGACTGAGGTTTATGACCTGCAGTCGAGCTACTTAAATACAGTTTGAGTCATTCTAAGTATAGTACAAGAGTCTGTAACGGTGCGTTAAACACACGGTACTAGCATGGTGGAATGCGATCTGAGTCAGATATTTAGCATAGCAGGATTACGATGAGGCTGATAAGATAAGATAAAGCGCAGAATCGTAATACCCGACTGCTAGTTTACTTTTTGAAGGCCGCATTTGTGATGTACCTAAGGAAATAATCAAGGTAAGATTTACCAATGAAAATAGTGCACTTGCCTGGCACCACAGTGCCCTTCATTCCTTTTTGTTTCTGCGTCGCAGCATCTGGAAGGTAAGTTCGCAGTGAAGGAGATGACCATTATGATACTTACTCTTTTGGGCAGAGAAGGCTGCACAAGATCCACACACTGTGGTTGAGAGTGACAGCAATGATCGATCCTGGCTTGTGATAGTTGCAGGTCTATCGGTAATCACAGCTCCTTCCATTACAAATGTCAGCTCTCTGGGTTGGAAGAAGTACAGTTTTTTGTCAGCTTGGTGCTTGACACAGTGATGATATTGGCAATGGTTGATGGATTCCTCCGTCGTGAAAGTGAAATCAGGATCTTCAGTCGTGAGTTGCTTCAGATGGAGAAATTCAAGATATGAATGGTACTCACTGCCACCAGGTAAGCAGAATCTGATGTCGAGATATGACAGCACTCCCATGTTCAAAGACAAGAGTGTATCACTGTCTTGAACAGGTTGCCATTGCCTAGGCATGTATATGTTGTATTGAGGATGCAGTGGCTCTAGCAAATGTAGTCAGGGTCATAAGAGGTGTAAGACATCGAGGATAGTCTGAGTGCTCTGGACATCTAAGTCGCACATGCTGAGATTATACAGCAAATTAAAATCACTTGACATATGCAGTGGAAATGTCCGAGCTCCTGGCCCTTTTATAAATATTGTGTAAGTCTCAGTATTTGTTTGCACAGCACCTAAGGAAGTGTATCTTGGTGAGCACTGGCAATGGTGGAAGACAGCAATATTGCAGAAGGCTATAATGAGTGTGACAGTGACTTTTTTGTCCATGAGACAACATCCAGCTCCATACAATATGCAACTCACAAGATAATGCAGCAATTAGAGGCAGGAAGCCTGTCTTATTCAGTAGTGCCCATAGGATATTTTTGGCAAACATAGTCATCATGAGAGGCAACTATAATCAGGTACAAACCTGGATACGAAGATATAATGTTTTCCATCCAGATTTTATACATTTTGAGTCTTGGTAGAAACTGCTTTGAAACTTGTTCAGAGGAACTGCATTGCCCTACATAACACATCCAGACCATTTGCTATTTGAATTTTTTTATGCCAGGGTTTAAGCTTTCCACCAAAGAGGTCTAATTGTGAAGAGCAATGACATGAAATGTTCAAAAATTGTCCTAGACAGGTGGTGATCCTCATTGGCAAATTACTTGATAAAGGAATCTGCAGTATGAAATTGCCTTACTGGCTACAGCGGGTTCTGGCATGCAGACAGGTGGCATTAAGAAAAATTCATGAGGAACTATTATGCATTTTTTAATCTGGAACGACCACAACTGGACAGACCTCGGAAGGGAGGACTTTCCTGTCAGAGTCTCAAGTGGTTACCAGATTTTGCATTGTTAGCTTTTGCCCCACCAACTGCATTCTCAATTCCCAGGTGAGACAATGCCCAATCAATATCTTCCACATGGTACTTGCCTCTAAAGTTTTCAAACATGAATACTTACTTACATTTTCAGTTCCTATGGAGTTGGTTGAACTAAGACTCCATCAGCTATGGAAGATGAATGATCACATGACAGATGAAGTTATGCAACAGGAGCTGCACAAGGTATTCAATACAAAGAAATACTGTCTAGAGTATGTGCTGTGATTTTTCAAAAATGTTCTTTCATATACAAACGTCCAGATTGAAGAGCCTCAAGAACCTCAGAAAATCTTTGGGGCTCCTTTCAACATGACAACAAAAACATAGTGTCACATCAATTGATGCAGATATGTCATACTTATGTACTATCTACCCAACAGCAGGCCACACAGAAATGTGCAAGCACCTTAAACACATATGTGGCATACTTGCTCCTGAGTACTTCCTTTTACTGCCTCTTGAAATTTGAGTTCTAAGTTCTCAGAGGTGTGGTTGAAGACTGGTTCTGGATGAAAGAGCTGGTGCTGTTTGCAGGTAGGAAAAGAGGACGGTTGCATCCATGAATCTTTCACTGTGCTGGAGTCAATGACATTTGGTGTCTGGACCAACATGACAAATGGAAAGTTCGATTTGGCATCTGTCTATATGGTTGCGTGGATCCCTTCACAGGAGTTCTGAAATGGATGAATGTTTGGTGGAACAATAGCAATCCAGTTCTCATCAGTTGTTATTACCTTGACATGGTTGAATGGATGGGTGGTGCATCAGGACCAAAATTCTTTGCCCCTATTCTTCTTGACAATCCATCTCAGCAGGACCGCTCTTGATGCAGAGTGATCTTGGTAACAAAAATGGTCACCTGGCCCGAGCTCATACATTTTTGAGGTATTGGCAAGATCCCACTTTAATTGGCACACTTCAACACTGCTGGATGCGGGAGAAGAAGAATTTGCTGGCTGAGATCATCTGGAGTGTTCTATGCAGATGTTGGTCACCTGGATTTGAACATCTGCTGCAGGTTGGTATTGACAATGGGTGGTATGATCCAAAGGTGCCACTAGAAGCATTAGTATCCCAGTGCCCACTATTTCTACTTTTACCTGACATTCCTCCATCTCTAGACAAGTGTTCCATTATGTGTTCCTGCCTTGGCTTCAAGCAGAATTAGATGTATATGTCTCAGAGAACAACAACACAAAAAAATGTCATAATCAGAAGATTTCCAGGCCAAACAGTGTCCCTTTGCTTATAGAACAAGCACCTGAATGCTTTGGCAGAAAAGATTTCAAGGCAAGAGCAGGAATGTGACAAGAAATTCAATCACTAATTTAATGCTCAGGTTGCATTCACTTCTGAGTTCATCATTGCTGCCCAGGCAATTTATGCACCCCCTGACCACCCTGTGCTGAAACTTGTTCCTGATTCATTCGCCATGCTTGTGGATGGATTTCTCAAACAGCTCAGGCATCCTATTATTAACAGACATTCAGTATGGAAAATGTACTTGGCCCTTGTTGGGATGTTCTGAAATAATAACATACTGATGCCTGAAGAATGGGAAGACCTTGATCAGGAGGAAGAGTCAGATGCCCAGAATAATCAGTTGCAGGGTGATCTTCATAGGGCTGATCAATACGCAGGCACAAGCAGGGTAGATGATCCTGGTACTGTCTTCTCTAATTCTCAATTCTAAAAATTAATTTACCCTAGAGTGGTTTCGAGAATAGCTATAAAGGGGGCCTTGGAGACCACCTTCACTATGATGTTCTGCCCTATTAATCTGAATTGCCTCTATTATGGCCTATTAAGAGAGCTGTGTTTGCAGTAATCTTTTGACCTTCCTTGAACTTCCTCTGCTCTCATGCATCACTTCTGGACAGTAAATCTTTCAGACAGAGCAAGGTATTGCAATGGCAGTGATAAATGTACATATGCATATGTTCCAGGCTTCCTTGGCCTGTCTGTACCATCTTCTGGAACTTCTGGGAATGTGGATGCTGGGCTTTGGTTTTGCTGGACTTATCCTTGTGCTCGAAGCATCCTGTATTCATCCATTGTCTATGTATACTATCTTCTATTGTCAATACACAATGCTAAAATGTGTTAGACCATCCCACGTATCCCACCAATGGTGGATGGCAAGCTCCAATGACATTTGGAGATCAGTCATTTTTGCACCCCATATACTAACTGTTCCATATTTTCATTGTGACCATATTTTATCATGAGCAGAATGCAAAGTTGCATTCAGAATATTTTGAGCATAATAAATGATCCTGCAATCCTGCTGAAAGCCAATGTTGCTGTTTAATGGTGAGAACTTGAAATCCTTGATAATTTCTTACTTTTCAAGAAGGTTACAATTGTACAGGCAATGGCAAGGAAGGTTGTTCTAGCTCATTCTTGATCCATTTATCTTTGGCAAGACGTCAAGAACATCACTCCATATTAATTCTGCAGAAAATTTCAGATCCCAAAAAGATACAGTGTTCATTCTCTGGGTCATTGAAATGATTGAATCTTCTACCTGGAATGACTAATAGCCCCTGAGTTTCCATCCAGAATATTTGATACAGCCTACACAGATACATGGAAGATGTATATAATGAATCAATTGATGACTTATATCACAATGGAAAGCAGATAAGGGAAGTACAAGCCAAGTAGTATCAATAGCGGCAATTTAAAGCTGGAAAGCCATGCAAGCTCACACTCCAGAAAATAAGTACAAGTAGGCTGTGGATTGGGATATTTGCAGAGGACCTTCTGTTGATGTTATTGGTTGAATTGTAGCTAAATTTTAAAAATCTATCTATGGGAAGCAACCATGAGAATGGAGGAAGGCAATGAAGCTCAAAAGATTACTAAAAACACAGGTCACGGGCAAAGATTTAACAAAGAAGCAGCAGGATATTTATCATCTTTGACTGTGTGCCTTGACTACATATGTTCTGATGTATATAAGTGCATGGGAGCATGCATGATGGCAGCCAGTCAGAAGTGCAGGGAAGGTTGATAGATGGTCGATCCCACTATGGGTTTGAATGAAATTCCCAATTCTGATTAATAGGCCAAAATGTTGCAGTGAAGGGGATCCTTTGGAGCTATTTAATGTGACCTTGAATGTCTACTTCCATTTCAAATCATCCTGCTTTATTTGCTGAGTCATCCTACACCAGTGCCTGACAGCTCTACAGGTATCTTCATGTGATTCACTGAGTCATCAAGCAGTCGAGCTCGACAGGTATTGTTTGAGCTCAATTCATTGCCACTTGGCAGGAGTATACCCACCTGCTGGGCCATTGATCATTGATATCCTACAGTAAAGTGTCAGAATGACATTCATCATCTATAGAGTAACAGACACTTTCGGAAAATTGAGCATACTAGTAGTCGAGCCTAAGGGAATACTGTGCAAACACAAGATGCAAAATGAAGTCCATTTCAAACTTCAATCAAGTTCCAAAAAAGCAATCATGACATTGCATGAAAACAACCATCCTTTCCTTCCTTTCCATCACTCATTGTGTCCCTCTTGACGATATGGCTTTTACTGACTTTGCAGTTTTCTGCTTTCAAGCTTCAATCCTTTGATCTGGAGCAAGGAAGAAGATTCATGAATACAACGGTGCATCTATGCTGTATATTTTAAGCATGGTGGTCTTTAATTGTAGGAGTAGAGCTCACTCAGGAATGGGATGCTCGAGTGCCAGTGCAAGTTTTCAGACAAAAATGCCCTATTGCATGGACTGGGAATGAGGAACCAACCTGGGCATTTATGCTCTTGGTAATGACAGCAGATCCTTCACAGTGATAATTGTGTAATAGACTGTCTGCAGACAAACTTTGACCCATAGGTATAAGCACATCCTTGAAGCAGCCAAGAAGGCATTCAAGAAGAACAAAGAAAGGTGCATTACTTACCACAATTTAAGTATCAGTTTTGACTTTGTCCAGACATTGGGCAGTGTGAAAATGAGGGATATATGGCACAAGGAACTGCAGAGTGTCATCACAGGCTCCATCATTGTTGGGGTTGATCTGGAAGACAAAAATTAGTGTGGGGTAATGTTTTCAGGGCAACCATGATAGTACCATTCTTTATGAAAAGTTTTGCAGCTGATGAAAATACCTGCCCTCACTCAGTGGACGTGGTGGCTGTAGCGAGCCATCCATATAAACTGGCAAGTAATTTGGTGCATTCAGTAACAGTATGAATGGTTTACCAACCAATATACTGGGTTCCCATGCTGACTTAGTCATTGCCATGTTAGGATAGGTGGCATATTTATTTTCTTTTGGCTTCATTGCAAGACTTGGATGTCTCATAATTTCCTGATCTCTGTATTTCATTACCATTAACTGTACTGAGTTTATGAGAAATTTGAACAATATGTGTATATTGAGCTAGAGGTGAGCCATGTTATCTACCTTTACTTTGTCAGTGAACTTACCTGACACTTGGCCTGACACTCACTTTGTTTGGCCTTTGCGCTATCCCATATGACTTATTGGCTATTTCAGTTCATAGTTGATATATGCCACATGTATATAGTGTGTTTCATAATTTTTTCAACCTATATATTAGTGTGCACATCATTGTATTCTATACTACTTTCTCTTCTCTCCCCCTCTTTCTTTGCATTTGTATTTTCTAAGGCTCCAATTGACAGTGTATTACTTGTGTTGTATATGCATATTTAAATATAATTTATCAGTCAAATACAACTTATGAGTCTCTTATTGCTAGCAATTTGATGCAGTCTGCATGTTCAGAGAATATTTCAGGCTGTTGAGATTTCTCAAGATCAGAAGAGGTTAATATGGTACCCACGGCACTGAAAAAAATTTGGAATGGTTATACCTATGAAAATGCAATAGCTTTAAGATACTGACAAGCAGGAGAGAGCTCTTGAGAAAATTCTTTTCCTCCTTTTTTTTCTTCCAAAATTCAGGTGAAACACAACTCGTCACTTATAGGGTTTTCTGTTCATTTTAGCACTTGGACTATAGGTGTGGGTTTCCAGGACTGGATTGAATTGAATTCATTTAAATTGTATATAAGGTGACAGCAGTGGCAAGCCAACAAATAGTGTTGCTGGTGTAGTGGTATAATGATGTTGCTTGGGTTGCCATTTTTGGCTGTCAAGTGTCCAATCCCACATTGGTGTCCCCTGTTCAATTGAATTCATTGTCTAGAGCTGCGCACAAAACCTCCAGGGAGGAAAATATGCCTTTAAAATCCTTTAAATAGTTGAATCTGAGATAGAAAGCTGGACTCTGGCATCTAGCCAAAATTTGACATTCTAATAAGTTTTTCAAACTCAGCCAAGTCTGACCCCACACATATAGTCCAACTGCCAAAATATAGGGGTGTATTTGTGACAGAAGCACAAGTAATTTTTTCAAGTAGATTTTGAGTCCCAATTTTATACTTTTAATGTATAGTGGTCTCAGTGAATAATGGGTCAGTAAATGTATTTTGCATGACAGAGATTGAAAATTGTGCACCAAAGAAATATATGAGTGTCATGAATTCACCCTTATTTTTCGCTTTAGTCATTTGCTTCATGTCATCTTTCCTTGATCATCATCTGATTATCGTCATCACTTCTAGTCGGCTCATTTGTAACCTGTGCCGATACTCCCACATCACACCATAACTTCCATCATGGTATATTTGTTCCGATCAAGGTGGACAAGCTCAGACATTCTTACTCAGGCAAAGTCCTGACCACAAGGGCACGATTCCTCCAGAACTCTTCTCGTCTAGCTGGCAGTTCACCATTTGGTAGTCCTTTCGCTGGCCTACTGTCATTGGCCATATTGCATTCATTCTCTATCATGGAACCATAGTAGTACACTTATTATTAGCACACCTAACTTATATTTAAATAGTAGCCTATGCTGTGGTTAAACCCCAGCTTCGGCTAAAGTCATATACTCCTAACTTTACTCGAACTCCAAGTTCCATGACTAATAAAGTCCTGAACACTTAACAATGCTCTGCATTGCTACCTTTGTTTCAATTCACCGAAGTGCGAGTGACGAACTAAGGCTTGACCTTGCATAGTCAAGTTGGTGCTTGACAATGAGCATACAGATTGAATTTAGGAATTAAACCATGCATGTAGTAACAAAATATGGGTAGGGAGCAACAGTGATAAACATTGCGCAGATAACTCAGGGCCTATTGGCAGGCAGGGATTTACCCTTATCATGATTATCCACTTATATACCTCATTTATCGCTCCCATACTTTACTATACTATAAAATGCATTCTATTCATTCTATGTAGTGAAGAAAT